ATCTACCCAATTGCATTAATCTAACTGATTAACCTAATGAAGAGGCTCTTCATCCCTATGAGAGCAAATAATTGTTTTAAATGCCCATCTCAGACATACCATTGTGTGACATGAAAATAAATGCTTAATTTGAGAGAGGAAAAAATATAAAGCTTTTAGAAAAAAACAACAACACTTCTAGCTTTGGTAGAAATTTAAATCACCAGTCACAAAGTTAAATCTTCTTTCTAAAACCATATTGCTCAAAAATTGTGATAGATCTAAGATTTTACCTTACTTGCATGCTAGCAAGTTAGCCTGCCACAATTTCATAGATATTGGTAAAAGACATTGGGCTGCTGGGTCAGAAATAAAGGATACTTTCATTAATCCCAGCAATAGCAGCAGCCAGAGAGCCACTATTTTTGTCTCAGTTCCCCAAGCCCAATTCCCACAATGCAATGCTTAGAGGGCCAGGTGACACTTGCATACTTAGTGTGCTGTATTGCAGGAGAGGAAAATGCAGTTTAGGGAACCAAAACCCTACCTAATAAACAGTAAGCATCCTCCCCACTGTGGAAAAAGACATCGTCTCTGTCTTCCAAGGCTGTTGGCTAAATAAACATCACTGGAAAGACAGGATTAAAGGCAATCAGTGCCCCCTTTCACAAAATGTCTGGAAATGCAAGAAATTTATGGAGAATTGTGTCCCAACAACATAAAATTATCTTCACCCTTCTACGTTGGCCTTGGCCAGAGCCAGGATTCAGGTAGGGCTTTAATTTCTGTTTCGGATGCCAACACTACCCTTGGACCAGGGTCACATGCATAGACAGAATACAATAGGGCAGATACCAATCAGCTTCCATGCTGCAATCTTTGCTCACTAACTGTTTGAGTTCCCTAGCTGGAGCAAGGCTTATCTTTGAGTCTCAGTTACCCCATCTGTGAAATAAAGGGTAAAGTCTACAGTATCTTCTTTCCAGATCCTCTGTCCTAGCTTAGAGTACCCATCTCCCAGCAGCTGAGAGTGCTGGATAGTAATCCTCTCTGGGAAATTGCCCTTAGCCAAACAGAAGCCTCTTACTCAAGATGTTAAGCCATGCCCACCACTATGCTGAAGGAAACTTATGTTCCCAAGCTCCAGTAGGATCAAACAGAGACCAAATGCTTACTTAGCTCTTTCCCCCGCCCTACTTCCCTCGCTCCCTTTCTCCTGAGAGCATTGTCTCTGTAAATCACATGCACTCAAATCCATGACTCAGACTCTGCTTTTAGGAAATGTAACTTAAGATAGAGTAACAGCTACCCCAGAGGGCTATGATCAAACATAACTGGATATAGCTCAGAATGAAAGGAGTAATCATAGTTTTTCTACCATTTCTGACTATAACACCCAGTAAAATGTTGTACTCTAATTGTTCTGGTCTATGTAGCTGCTCTTCCCATCTAAGCTGGCCTCTGGTCAACCAGTTCCACCAGGCCCAAGAGTGAATGCCAGACCCCTATGTCCTATTTAGCTGATCATGGTCTTTTCTAAAGCAGGCCTGTTCTGCTCTCATCATGGTCATGGATGACCTGTGCCAGCAAAATTCTGGATCATCAAGAGAAGTCATATAGCCTCCAAACAAAGCCATGTGATGTGTGTGTGTGTGTGTGTGTGTGTGTGTGTGTATGAAAGAGAGAGAGAGAGAGACCAAGAGAAAAGGGACTGAAGCTGAAACATACTCTGCTATAGCGATGCATATAACCTAAAGTAAAAAATTATTTTCCAGGCTATTTGAACCTGAAATCATGTCAAGAAAGACAGTTGTTTACTGGGACTGCCCCTAGCTTTCTGATCACTGCAGTTACCTACTCTTATTCCAACGTACACAAAAACTTATATAGATGTATGGCAACAATGCCTCTGGCAATGCCAGTCTGGAAAGTGGCCTGCCCTCTTCCCTGGCATTTATGTACCATTAATGCTAGGCTGCTGTTTCTGGATTAATCAGCCTCTACTTTGGTTGCAAGGAGTCAACCATTCCTTAACCTGTGCAGTTAACTCCTTATGTAAAAATATCAAACCAGACACTTCTTACCAAAACTTTGAGTCATTTTTACAGTTCTTTAATTTCAGTTTCGGGCACCCTTCCAAAATGAATTCACATGTCCTCCCTTTTGAATTCATGTGTTTGTCCCCAGAACTCATCTTAACTGCCACATTTCTACTTGGGAACTGCTCTTTTGTCCTCCCCAACCTGCTTCCAGTCAGCTCTGCCTCTCCTGAGTCCAATCAACCCACTTGACTCAGGTCTTCCTTTTTTCTGACACTTTTGCCATCTAAATAAAGAATATTCTGGACACAATGTACTGTACCCTTCAATGTGACATTCTGATTGGCAGCATTTTTTATTAGTGCAGAAGCCATGTCCCTAAAGTCAAACCAGCCAGGGGTAAGCCACAGAAGTTCAGCTCACATCATCAACTCCGTCCTGCTCCTTTATCCCCCACAAAAGCAGGCAGAACTGCTTTCAGTTTTTACTAGTTAGAAAAGGCAGAGAACTGGTATAATCATCTAGGTAGATAATCTGGGCAAAATTCATCTCTTGTATATAAGCATATATCTCCCAGAAGGTCTCAAATCAAGTACAAATAAAACAGCATAAAAATGGGCATAAAATCACATCCTACCCATCCTAATAGATTTGGGAAGCATGTCTGGCTTCTCCATAGAGTCTGATTTTAGAAGCACAGAAGCTAGTCCCCAGAATGCAAATGCTTCTACTTGGAATGTTCTTTGACTCAACAAGGCAGCATCTGCATATTGGGAGACCTGCTAGCACTAATTTATTTTGGAAGGGAAGAAGAAATTTGTGAGCAATTGGTGCTCAGAGTCATCTTACTTCCCAGTGCCTCAAAGGGAATCAGAGACGTGGTGAAGAGACAGGCACAGATGCTGCTCAAGTGCTTCCTCTTTTAGAACATTCAAATCACTCAGAACACCAAGATGCATTGATTCACTGCTCTGAATTGTATTTTTTGCAAGTCTAAAAATATTTACTCTTTTATAAGGTCTTAGAAAATCAAGTTTTGAAAACCCCTCCTTTTCCCCATGCCCATTTCTATAAACATTCACAATTCATAAGCGGTCAGGGATGAATAAATACATAGACTATTCTGTGGAAATCAGCACAATGACAAAGGTTTCAGAATGTAGTTCTGGTAGTCAAGGAATAGAATTAAAAGTAAAACAATCCGCCTCCACATCTGGTAACAAGGCAAACAACTGTCACTTGGTGAAGCTGCCTCAGAGGCATCACCATGCAGTGAGAAGGCTTTTCTTTAATCTCATTTTACTTTGGTATATGAGCATAGCTAATATGCACATTAACACATCTATTTATGCTGTCTAAAAGGCATTTGTCCACACCATCCTGCAAATGAAAATGGATTGGGAAATATTGATGAGACTGTAATCATAGAAGGCAAAAGTTTGTAGTGTCCAGAAAGCAGAGCAGGGGTGTAAGAGTGTTTGTCCACCAGTGTCCAAGATAAAATGACACTGTAAATGTTGAACACTGTATCGAGTGCCTGAAGACCCGTGCTATAGCACAGAGCAAGGACAGTGTGTATAGCTTCTTTGCACATGTCCCGTGCAATTTCTTTTAGGGCTTCAGTTACATAGAAAGATAGACAGATGAATGATAGATGGATAGAGAGACAGATCAACCAACTGACCAATAGACAACTCTCAAATCACACTCCAGACCAATGTTAGACATTGCCACTTGTATATCTCATAGATGCCTCACAATTCATACATCCAAAACTGAAGTCAGTGCCTTCTCCTCAATGAACAAACCGGAGTTCCTTCTCCCTTGGTCCCTTCATCCTCAACTGTCACAGCTAATCAATCAAATTCTGTTACTTCTTCACCCATAATACGGTTCAAACTCTTCTTCATCCCTTCATCTCCAGTGTTACCACCTGAGGTCAGGCTACCACAGCCTATCTCATGAATAATTTCCACAGTTTTCTAAAGGGTCTCCCTGCCTCCACCTTTGTCTCCAACAATTCATTTTTTCTTCAGAACTCTCCCCTCACCCAGAAATGACTTCTAAAACAATAATTCATTATTGCCTTCAGGGTGGCAATCCTTGCTTTCTAAAACCCTCCACACTGGCCAACTTGCAGTTCCCTGGGGAAGTTACTCACTGTTAACTCACCTTTTTCCCCAGCCCTTCATCTCCTCTCTCACCTAAGTGGATCCCACTTATCCTTCAAGACTCCACTCAGACATGACCTTATCTGGAACATCTGCCCATAGCATTATCGATTGCACATCACATGCTGTGAACGCCCTCTTTTGACAAGGCTCCTGATGATAGGTAACATCTTATTTGGGTAGCACGTAACAATGGCTCCATAGGCATGCATTCAATTTAAAAATTCTTTTGTAAAGTATGTGGCATTTCTCGTAAAACTTTTTAGTTTCTTTTTATTCTGAGCTCTCTGAGTAAATTCCCATTATTTGTTCTGTAACCTGTTACCTTGATATTGGGGAAAATAAATCTAAACTAGAAGATATAAGAATTTCTAATACTAATACATATTTTTATGATATAAAGAGCTGGAATCTGAGATATTAATCAAGCCCTATGCGTAATAACTCATCACATATCAATTCTGGGATAGCTTCCCCCCACCCCAAGACGAAGTGATGAAGGTGAGGGGCTAAAATGTCAAAGGAAAAGATACTCCCTGAATCGTGACACATCTCCTCTACCCTAGGATACAAATCATGTGACCCTGCCAGGATGTTCTGTTGGCCTGGCTGCTTTAGGTGGCAAGTGTCACTGCAAGGGATGTGGCAATAAAGCAAGCTCTGCCTAACATCGGGTGGTGAGGGAAATGGTGGCTGGCTGGCTGAATGAGGCCACAGATTTGCACAGCCTTCTGCCTTCACCTCTATAGAAACTATTCAAAAGTTTACATGTGATTTTCTTCCAGTATAAACAGAATCTCAAAGTAAATACCTTCCATTCCTCTCACAGATGTTCAGTCAGTGGGAATCTATCAGGTGCAAAGGAAGCCATCTGTCTTTTCCACGCATACCTATTGTTAGGAAATCTTAAGGGTCCTCTTAGCATTTGGCTTGCTCTGCTTATGGTAAAACAGCAGGGGTAGCCATTCCAGATCCGATCTTGGTCCCTGGACAAGGTATAGAAAAAAAAAAAACACTAAAATGATAAAACACACACACACACAAACTTATTTGTATCAAAAAAAGACAATGTCTTCAAATGTAGCAAATTACCAGGAGCTATCTATTTAGATGAGAAGTCAACAGTAGTTTTCAACTCTACTTATTAGAGACATTTTAAAAAAATGTAAAGATTATTAAATACTAGAATGATTTGTCCAAGATGAGGAATACAATCTTTTATTCCAAAGAGCTATAAAAAAAAAGAACCAATCTAATTGAGAAACCAATTGCTGACCTACGTAAAGGCGAGGGAATGGCCTCTATGGACTCTTAGATTCTCTTCTGGTTTTGTGATTCTATAAATCCTTCTAATAAAAATATTGTCAGACATACCAAGTGATTTACACTTATTTTTGTCTCTGAGTACAAAAAAAAAAAAAAATGTCACCAGCAGGTGGCTTGTCTGGGGACTTAGTTTTCAAGAGGAATTAGGCCTTTATCAATACCCAGTGGCCACCCTGTGGTATTTGATGGACAGTTGCAAATGAAACCCTAAAATAGAATTATAAATCAGGGGAATATATCCGGAGTGGCTGTTTCTCCTAACGCTGACTAGGGACACTCTCTTATGCTGTCACTCAACCTGGGTGAGTGTATGATAATAACGATAATGTACTTGTTGCTAAAAATTTAACACCAAGATTTTGAACGGTGGACAGAACCAAATACAAACAACACTGAGAAAATCAATGAAAGCTGCCTGTACTCGTAAGGGGAGAAAAGACGATGCCAGATTCTTCTACTCTTTGGAGAAAACAGAAAACGAGAGAGATTTTAGAAAGAGTTCTATTGAGTGAAAGCCTGATAATCTCATTTTAAAGTGACATAAGGGAGGCAGTAAAAGAGACAATAAACACCCAAAATTTTTAGAATTAGGATGAGGAGCTCACTAAATTTTCACATATGTTTATGGATGTTTGACCATGATAACCAGAGTCCTACAAAATGTGAAATCATTAATATATTCTGTACTCAGCATTGTGTGTTTAATATTGCATACAGTTATTTGGATATCCTTACATCTGTTCAGTAATTACTGGCAATGTGTATGTATCCCTTTAAAAATACAAATTAAATATTAAAATATATTTATCTGACAAATATGAAATACAACTGGCATAGAAATTTATTTTCATAAACCCTTGAGTTTGTAATAAATTTGCTCCATTTCAAGATTTTTAAGGTACTTTTCTGACATTATAGTTTAATTACCACAAAAACCAAGGTTTGAAAAGAGAAGAAATAAATGCACCATAGTTTTTAGGTGAGAAAACAGTGTTGACCTAAAACCACTGGCTTTGTTTCTACCTTGGTGAGATGGGCATTTGGGAAACAATAACAGGGAGGACAAGGAGGAGAGGACAATTCTATCCCTTGACAATCTGCTTCACCATTTTCTCCCATCTTCACACCCTTATAGTCCGGCCTTAGAGAGCACCAGGGATTCAGAAATCCTGAACAAGTCAATGCAGATGTCATGGCATACTTCAGAGATCTATGGCAGACCTTGCCCTCTTTCACAGTCTGTGCTGTTCAACAGCTGAAAACCCGTCATCCCAGCATGGCTAAATAAACTCTAGGAGTGCAATACCATGGAAGACTATGCAGCAGTCATAAATAACAAAGAAATCCAAGTGTATTGACATATAAAGATCTCCACGACACATTACTGAGTGCAAAAAGCTACATTATGATATATGTTATGACATTATTAATGTTAAAAAACACAAATGACAGTGTATCTTTCTGTACATAAGTAGTTTATTGAAAAGTCTGATTCACTGGTCTAAAAATATGGAATTGATTTTTTTTTTTTTTACTCACTGCATTTAACTGTGTTGAATCTCCCTTTTCAACCCTTTAATAGTATACAGGACAAATCCCACAGCTTTCTGATCACTTTCACAGGTTAAACACTTCAGTTTAGTCCTATCCACTTATCCCACTTTAAATAATCAATCAGATACCCTTTTTCCCCACTCAGTTCAGCCTGCCCCAGCTAGAGGGACTTGAAGTAAGGAGAGAGGCTAGTCCTCCCTTTGGATTCTTCTCCTCCTGTTCCCTCTTCTCCATCTCTCTCTCCATTATACTAGAGTAGAAGTGAGATCAGGGTCTCTGTGCTTTTGGGTCCTTTCTTGGCTGACACGGTCTGGTTTTTGATGCCATGACTTGGCAAACACCTTTCTTGGGGAAACATGGATGAGTTCTTTCTGAAATAGATGAAAGGCTCTGATTTGATCTTTTCTGCCTCACCCCCCTAGTGGTTCAAAACCGCATTCTCTTGCTGATAGGGTCTCCTCTTCTGGAAGTCAGCCATCCTGCTCAGGTAATAGCAAGTGCCTTCAAGCTGCCTTCCTCCATGTCCACTTGAGACACAGGAAGCCCCTTTATTCTCCCCAAACCATGCAAGGTGTGCTTTCTTCATTTTGCTCTCCTATTAAGTGAAGGTCAGCAGGTCCACTCTCTAAGCAGATGTCCAATTAGTTAATTAGGGTCCAGTCTCTCCTTGAAGATACTCCCAAAATATAAAAGTATTTTTCTTGGAGTCTTCCTCATAAGGCTGAAGTACCTCCTGTGATTCCCCATGAAGAGAGATGGTAAAAACTACAGTATTCCCTTCCTAATCCAACACATCATAACTCCACTTCTTTTCTTACATATTTTGAGAAGGAAATGGCTGAGGGAAGGAGGGTCTCCTATAGAATCCTGCAGGGAGATGCTCAATGACTCCTCATTCCTCATCCTGTAACATGCAGCTCTCTCTATTTAAAAAACTGATTGGCTAGAAATACCTAATGTAGGTGATGGGGTGATGGAGACAGCAAACCACCATGGCATGTGTATACCTATGTAACAATCCTGCAAGATCTGCACATGTACCCCAGAACTTAAAGTAAAATTAAAAAAACTAGCTGACATTGTTCTCCTCTGCGGAGGGACATAGGGTGATGAGTGGTGGTAAATGGGCTTTAGCTTCTTTTTATTGTTTGGATTTTCACAAAGAGAATGTTTTTATATATTTCATTCATTCATTCAAAATAATGTTAGTTGGTCCCTAGAGATGTCATATCTGCTTTAATCAAGGCAGCCAAAGTTGCAGTCTCAATCCTGGCCACTATATTATACTAAGTACCATCAACTGCACACTGATAAAGCTTTCCCAAAGTTTGATGGAGGAGTTGCCCTTTCTCCAAGAATATAACTGACAACTAATTGGAGCCACAGAACACAGCACAGAGTCCCTTTCCCCATGTTGCTAATGGGACACAGACTATCGGGACAAGTCAATGTTCCCCTCCATGTTCCACCTGCTCTAAGTCTGTGTAATCATCTGCTAGACTCTGACTAATGAAAGCAGGTGAAACTCTGTAGGGTGGGATCGACAGTCTGACACGAGCATACAGAGGGAGAAGGTGGTGGTGTACCGCCACGCTGAGCACCACCTGGAGTTACCAGTTGTCATGGCCTCCTAACAAGCATTTAGAAGGCTGGGAAAGGGCATAGCCAACAAGCAAGAGGCCACGGATTATCTCCTGGTTGCCATTCTGCACATCCAGATAAAGAGAAGTTTCCCAAGGCACCTCTATTGGCAAGGAGAGGAGGTAATACAGCCAGCCTCTACCAGGGTGGCACTGGGCATGTGGAAACACAGTTTTTACACCTCTGCCAAGACTTTATCTCCGTGGGTATCTGGAAAGGAGAAGAGTCTACCACCTCTAACAAGCTTCATGGATATTGGACAGAAGATTCAAAAGGGAAATAAGATAAATCTGAAGGTTTGAGAAAACAGCACAAGTATGGTGATTTTGCTCCAAGACAGTTTTACCCTAAAGAGTACAGCTCTCTAAAAATAATCCCAAAATTTCCTCCATGACCTCGTCCTTTAACATCAAATCACAAGAGAACTATGATCTTCTTGTTTTAGAAATGACAATATATGTTCTTTCATTCCCAGTTTAACATCTGGGTTTCCATTATGATGATACCTCTGATTAAACAAAACAAAATTTCGTGCTAGAAAAGAATTTTGCTGATAATCCAGTACAGCCATCTCAGATTGCAGATGTGAAAAGTCACAACGTTAAATTAGCTGCACAAGGGCTCACTGCACTGTAAGAGCTGACGCAGTGCTGGGATCCAGCTCCCCGGAGTCCCAGATCCACAAACTTCCACCACATCATTCTGCCTCTAGTGGCACAAAGTAGTTCTTAAAGGTGTAATTCACTTTTGTAATTACTGGTCCTCCGTATCAGTGTTGATAGTGGAGAACAGTAATGGCATCTTTAACGTTTACAGATCATCACAATTACTTTCTCTTACATAACCTCATTTGATTGCAATCACTCTGAGAAGCAAATGGCACAGTCACCACTAGGCCCATTTTACAAATGTGGCAAATGAGCTCAGAGATACTAGTTTGCCCTAAATCCTGCAGAAACGATCAGTCCTGACTCTCAGCTTAACTTTACTCCCAGATCATCAATCCCAAGTCTTTGTGTTTTCCACACGTTTCTAACAGCATAATTGACTACTTTACACCTGAAGTCAATGTTTTATTCATCTCCACATGGATAAACCACACATCAACCATGTGTTTATTTTTAGATGTGTCTGCAAAGATTTTATTATGAGAATGTAGTATATTGAAATTAATAGCCAGAAGCCACACTGACTCAAACAAGCACAATAGGAGCCTGCTTTTTATTTTCATAACTTGGGCTGGATGCCTTTGTGGAAAAGTTTCACTTTGCATAGACTCTGAGATGCAATTTAGGAGTGGTAAGTGACCTACAGATGGGTGCTCAGCACCTCTCCTCCTGCTTCACCCCTCAGAGGCCTCTCACACTCCTCCCCCCACCACATACACACAAAGGCACCCTCAGCTTGTTCTGTGAACAGTATAACAAGTTAGCCACACTGCAGGCCTTGACACATGGCTCACTCA